TACTCATCTTATTTTATTGGCCTTGATAGTAACGTAGATTAACAGAGTTTATGAAGGTAATATTCCATCTTTGTTATTGTGCTTCCTTCTTAAGCGAATTTGTTCAAAAAATCGCATTGCTTTAAATTGATTTTCAAGTATCTAATAAAATTCGTATATAAGATGAAAGTAACAGCCTTTCTTTCACTTTCAGACCCAAATAAACAACTCGTAATGATAGCGCTTATCACTACCACTCGTCATATAAACATATTTGTAGGCCTCGTAATAAAGTTAGAATATTCTCTGAACCATAATTTATTTCAATCGAAGGTATGAAGACCAAGATCGTGTAGCTTTTAGTATAGTCACGGTCTACTTTCGTTGTATGTAAGTTGTTTGACCTTGTTTTCGCAACTTGTTCGTATTGTTGATGGGACCTAGAGAAACTACCTTATCCGGAGTCTATAGTATGCGTGTTAATCTCCAGATTTGAACCGTGGACTTAGTACATTTTAAGACGTTTCTCCGGCATCGTCAGTGAGCCTCGTCAGTCTTAGCACCCCACTACAACTCGTCACGGAGACAAGTCAAGTCAATCATTCGACCACTTTTCTGCTAAACAGGTATGATATCTCTCTCTCTCCTGTTCTGGTGTACTCACCTACCCATATCCCCGTAACAGTCCTTCACTATCACAATTTCTTGCATGTTTATTTAAACCTGGTTCTAGTGTCCTATGGTGAGCGGATTTAGCGTGACCTATTCACACTCCCCTCTAGTGCCCTAATCCTCCACCTCAGTATGCTGATAATTTTGATACAACTCTGCCTTATTAGTCCGTATTCATTTTCTCCTAGGTCCTATCAGTCTCCCTTTAACCCAGTAGAATCTGTCTCTTGTCTCCCTCGTTCAGGGATTTCACTCGACAACTACCACCCTATCTGTGCTACTCGAGACATTATTTTCCACACCACTTCAAGGCGGTACGTATACTCGCGCCTCACTGAGCAGGCCCCCAAAGCCTAGATTCCCAACCTGGATAGGAAAGTAACTTGAGCCTATAAATCCCATTATTACCGTTTTCCATGTGTACCGGGCAAATCTCATGGTCATGCTTTTGCCTAGCGAGACCCGTATGTGATGAAACACGTTTACTATTGGCCTACTATCTCTGGTCTTCGTCTCATTCGTTGTGCTTCTATCCATAATGCTAAGTCTATGACTTTCTAAGCCCTAGTCGCTTATGTGCCAACCCCCAAATGTTGTGGATTTACTCGTTTGGAAAAGACTTACTGTAGACGTCTCCCCTTGGTTTCTGATTGTTCCTCTATTGACTCTGCGATTTATTTCCGATGTTCACAATTTTTCCTTCATCTAGTCTTCTTCTTTATGTTGATTTTGCTGTCCCATTATTTCCTCTGAGTTCGCTTGAACAATATACAACGTTTTCGCTAATCCTGCCTTCCTTAAGACTGCAGTCCTTTCAGACAGGATATCGATGGCCTCTATAATCTTGCGTTTCCTTGCATTTTATCATATGCGGCCAGCCCTTCTGTCGATTTCCATTGGATTTAGTGTCCCGTCCGTGCAATGTGTTCCACTATTTAGTATCTTTCCATATCCATATTTCTGCAGAGAATTTGATGGTCCTTGATTTGTAGGCTGATTTTTCTTTCTGCTTCACCAATACACTTCTGATCACAGTTGCCGTATTTTATTCGATAAACGCCATAGCAAGCCAGTTTAACAACCTTATAGTGTTGCGTCGACAGGCTGTTTAAGGGAATTGGCTTTTCCTTCATTACCACGTTGATATTTTGTTATCTTTGTAACGGTAGCATTTTTGACTCAATTCACAGAATAACAGGCATATCGACTTTTGGTCGTCCTCATGATTCCTGACGAGTTGTAGTCTGATGCTAAGAGTGGCAAGACTCACTGACGATGCCAGCCAAACGTCTGGGAAAATGTACTAAGTCCGACTCTGGAAACTATCTTGCATACTATTAACTCTAGACAACGTGAATTTTTCTAGGTCGTCCTGACAATAAGACCAAGTGCATAAACAAGGTCAAACAATTTCTATAATTTTTTTCATTTTTAACTTATTGCCATTCTTGATATTCTCCACTAAACCGCTTGACCATACAGGATAAACAGCTAGATCCTTGGCTAACTTACATCAAGCATAGCCTCATTATCATTACATGGCCTTCTATATCCACTTAACTTCCGAAATATCAGGAAATATTAAAATTTTTGGAGATTATTTATGCTAATGTTTCCAGCCGGTTGAGTCTGGGCCATTAAGTCAGCCTCTATGCCTTCAATATTGCTGTTATGTTTCTCTTGCGATATTTTAACTAGTGTGAAGCATAAAGCCATAAAGGCGAAGTGAACCATTTAAGCATACTTCCATCTCTGGGAATTATAATGCTAGGATGGTAGAAAATTGTTTGACGCTTGCATACCTTTTATTTCATTTTAAAGGCGAGTAGAAAGGATTCGTAAATTTTCCTCACCGGATACCGAAGTAGGGTTGCCTTGGACTTGTGACTGTTGGATTGTGCGAAAAAGACCTCGACTCACCGTCTATGCTGATTTTTTATCCGTCATGTGGAGAACATCGTCAGTGCCAGATAACATTATTTGCGAACAATCACCAAAAAACACTAAGGCAAGAAAGGTGTTATTTAATGTTTGTTCGTAAATGATGGTATCTGACTTATACAATTTCCGTCATGACGGATAAAAGCTCATCGCAGGCGATGAGTCGAGGCCTCCTTCGCACAATCCAACTGTCGCAAGGCAATAACAACTCAGTATTCGATGATGCCAATTTACGAGTCCTTTCCACCAGCCTTTTCAAACGAAATTAAGGGTATGCCAGCATCAATCTACCAAGAGTTTCTTTTAAACCCAGCTTCTCTTCATATCTCAGAGAAAAATGTTTTCCTTTTGTTTTCAACATAAAACGGATATTGGGGACAAACTCTTATATAAGTGTATCAGAGTGGAATGTCATTAGCGCGTCACAATTAATTACAGGAAATATTTTAAACTCATAGACCTCAGCAAATTAGATTCTTTGATTTTCGTTTATCAGTAGGCTTTCGAGACTACCAGCGGATCATATATATGAGATGTATTTATCCTATTTCGGCTGGGATAATAAAGGGACTGGAAGTTAAATTTTCTCACAATGTCATGAGTAGATATAACGTTTCTTTTGAATTTCACATAACCTTGTTTCCATAAAGGTTACGGTAAGTAGACTTTCAAGACTACGAAAAATAACCAAGTCGACTGCTATAGTAAATACAGCTTTGCTTCATCGGCACTCCTTCCACAAAATGTGATATGGGAAAATGTCTGGACTTCCTTTAAATTTGCATCTGCCCTGTAATCTGAGGGCACTCGTGGAATTATTGTGTAGTGGTTAACGTATCGAGATCATAAGATGAAGTTTCACGGTTCGAGTCCCGCTGAGTGTGTTGATAAGGCCTAGCGAGGTCAAAACTGCAGTCCACCTTGGATGAGACTAACTTTTGGGAAAGCCAGGCTATGTGAAAGTTAATAGAAACGTTATTTATACTTATGTCATTGTGGGAAAATTGAACAGCCAGTCCCGTAAGCCAAATATGATGAATACATCACATATATATTCTTAGTATTTTGGGAGGCTAGTGCTTCCGCCTTTCCATTTATAAATATTTTTATCCTTGCCTAATAAATCAATTATATCACAATATGTCAATCAGAATAGCAAATACAGAAGTAATTTCAATACTTTGCTTTTACCTCGTCAACATGCCAAATAAGATGAGACATAGAAGTAACCTATCACTAGACGCAGGGGATAAAACTTAGACTGCTTTCTAGGTAGCAGAGACCTGCTGTTTACAATAATGCATTTCAAGATTAAAAGTTCCCAAAGCTTGACGTAAAGAACTGGATAATTTTTCGACTATCAGACATATCGCATCGTGAATACTGGTCTTATGGAAGTATAGGATTCTAAAGAGGACTGCGATTGCTATATACTTAATTTTATTTAAAGATATAAAGACCAAGATGGTGTGGCTTCTGGTATGGTCGCAGTCTCCTTTCGATTTATGGAAGTTGGTTGACCTCGTTGTCGCAACTTGGTCTTGTTGTCAGAGGGACTTAATAGAAATGCACCTAGTCCGAAGTAGTTCGCCATAGTAGTTGTCATAATTCCCAGCATCAGACAGTGGACTTTGTACATTCTCAAACGCTTCGCCGGCATCGTAGTCGGCATCATCAGTGAGTTTTAGTATTCTCTCCATCAAGTCAACTGTCTGATGCTAGGAATTATGACAACTACTATGGTAGACGACTTTGGACTAGGTGCGTTCTATTAAATCGCCCTGACAACAAGATCAAGTTGCAACGATGAGGTCAACCCACTTCTTAATTTTATGTTTATGGCCAAGGTAGAGTACATTTATTCTTCCAATGTATTTTATGTTATTATTAAGAAACCTGTAAATAGCTAACGGTAGTATATTATTAGGGTTAAAACTTTTTCTGGTCACTTAAATTCAGAATTTTATACTATTTGTTACTTACCCAATATAAATTAGGCTGTGAGATCTCCTGTAGAAATATTTTATAACTTTTAGGTTGCATAATGTGGTACAAATGTGCAATTTCTCACCCTTTTGATGGAAAAGGCTTAATTTGTTCATGATTTATCATAGCTATAGTCATGTATTCATTTCACTTAGCCGTTACTCGCAAATGAACGACATTGTGACAAAATTAAGGCCAGGGAAAGAAATTGCCATTTTCTAGCAGTATTTTACAGGAATATGTAAATTTTTAAAAATAATTTTAAAAATTACTACATAGATAAAAATTGTTATATGAATGAAGAAATCGATCCGTTATCAATCTTTTAACCTGACTATCAGGTATTTTTTATGTCTGGTTGTATCCTGAGAAGGCCCTATCATTTTGAGTTTTTGGCAAGCCCAGTCTGAATCACAGTCTCCCTAAATTTTTCCAGTAGCCAGCTTTCCCCGTGTACAATTGTTTTTCCCATCCAGTCGCATAGGCAACAGGACGTTGGGTATCGGGGGCGGCGTGATATGGCCCAGCAGGCGTCTGGCTGATTGTTCCTTCCCATGTGCTCCTCTAAGCAATCTTAGCTCTGTCGGCTTGATTCTTGTGGCCTCTTCCAATGCCCTATTGTCGTCGTGCCTGTGCAGCCGAGCTACCGGCGAGGTTAAACGATCGAGCAGAAGTTCAGAGATCAACTGCGCTTTAGGCCAGATCTGCTGTTCTGTGACTTTGTGCTTCGTGCCACCATTAACAGCTATAGAGAAAGACAGTGGTCCTTGTGATAACTGCATTGGCAGAGAATGTGCCTGGCCAACCACTCCAGCAGCATCCTCAGCTCTACTAAAGGTGTTTCGTCTTTTTCCGCTTTCTGGTATTCGCCCAATTCTTTTTCGAAAGGAGAGTCGGTCAAATGGATAGGTGGGTACTTGTGTGCCAACAGAGTCAGTTAGATGACCTGAGGGAGGGTTGTGTCTGTCAGCAGTTTTGGTGGGCAGTTTACATGTCAACGATGGGTCCAGTCGAGAACTCTTGCCGAGTCTCGATGTTGCTGAAAGTTCGCGGTGCAGCCGAGCTTGACGCGTTTGAAACTTGACCTCATCAACTGGCACAAGACCAAAGTGTTCGGCCATCGAGCGTCTCATTTCCTCCATATATCTACGGGATGC